TGATTTTTTGTGTGTAAAATCTACGTCTTTTAGTCTCAAAACTACGTGGTGGTCTTTCTTTTATGTATTGCGTTTTGTGAAAAATATATACGTGATGGAGAAAAATGGATATCATTTTCGGATTCAGCATACAGAAATTACTGTAGAATATGTAAAAATTTCAAGACAATAAAACCATCGCAGGCCTGTGTTATTGTTATATCTCGAGCTATCTCCCCCTTCTCCTCCATCCCAAGCCCATCTGTCTGCCACCCCTTCGCCTCCTCACATTCACGATCCTATATAGATACGGAACTGGTAACACTGTGGCTTCCGTACTTATCGAATGTAGGGGTATCAACCACTAACAGTATTCCGAGAAACACAAGTTTCTTCTGGTCACTTTGATTAAAATATCAACACACCACGTTTCTCGTACTGGGCGACCTCTAGACAGTAAATTCTAATTTAACTTCTAGCTAGTAATGGTGCATTTATATTAACTTCCGATCAGAGAAGCTACTTAAAGTTAAACGTGGGATCAAAACAAAACCAACAGCAATCATTTAATGAGTAAAGTGATATTTTTCTGCTCGTATTATCTCGACTATAAATATTACGACTTTATCAGTTGGATAATCTCACAATCAACGATATTTGCCCACTTTTTTTTTTACTGGGTGTCTACGTCATAAACTGTCTACGAACATATGCTCACTATAACACCCAACACGTCTAACCCTACAGCTATAACTATTTAGAAGTATGGGCTATCGGAAACGTGAGCGGCTGTAACAAATTAGTACGTTGCCTTGCAAACTTTGATTTCACGTTTTAAACGATCACAAAATGTGGTGGATGTCGTGAAAACTATTGTTTACTTTTTATGTAAGTAGGCAAGATAGGAAATATTACTAATTAAACCATAAACACACTTAGTGACAAGATATTATTTTTTTAATAACTTCTACGTTTGGCTGAATGATGCACAAAATATTATTACTCAGTTGGCGTACAATCACATATACTATAATTTAATAATATAAAGTGTACTGGAAAGCCTATTTCGTTACTGTTATACCAACTGTAAATGCAATTAAAAATAATAATTTGGTAATTATATAAAATGTCCCTTACCTAAAGAGAGAGCCGCTAGAAGCCGCACAGCTGCATCAGGTGGTTCACATTGTTGGTAAAGAGGTTCAATAATATAATGGGCAAAAGTGAGCGCCAAGATAGCTTGTGCTGTTGGTCGAATAATGAGAAGAGCAACCCAAAGTCTCAGAAAGGCTGTCAGAGGCCCGAAAGCTTCGAGAATGTAAGCATAATCTCCACCAGATCGTACAATAGAAGTTCCTAACTCAGCGTAACACATGGCTCCTAGCATTGAAAACACTCCGCACAACGACCAGACGACAAGCGATAGGCCTACCGATTCACCGCAGTAAGCAAAAACGCCTCTCGGAGAAACAAATATTCCCGCTCCAATAATGCATCCAACAATAATTGCTACGCCATTAATTAAAGTTATTTCACTTTTTAGTTTTACTTTCCCTTCTTTACTGCCGGTACCATCACTTCCGCTCGTTCCTCGTGCTTCCACGTGACGTGACATTGTTGATAATAATACTGTAATTTCCGTTGTTTGTTTTCGAAACACGAAAAAATTAAGATGCGGACGCTGAATATTCTGTCCACTATAAAATAATGTTTTTCTCACAAAGCCAATCACAGTTAAACAACTTGATATACCCACAAGTAATCCGGCGTTACAACCACGAAGTAACAATCAACAGAGGTTACGAGTGAGCTAAATCGTTCGTAGTTTCAATTTATAGGCTAAAGTTCCTGTTCAATATAAATCGCGCCACGCGGCGGAACTACAACGTACTATCTGACTGTGATAGGGTCGCTGTGAATAATAAAGCCATAAATAGACTAGTTAGTAATTTACTGTGTTATTTGCGTACATTTGTCGTTAGGCGTAGTGTATCGTTAAGGTTCTAATGCCATGATTTAATCATAGAATAAAACAATTTCCCAGGTGACCATGATGAAGAAAAATGCATCTTTTGAAAACGATTTGTCTTCCGTTTAGACAACTGTAAGTTTACGAACTTACAACGCTAACACCCGGGTTCTATTCCCCGCGATGAACACAATATATAACCCAATGTGGCTTTGCTCTAAGACAAACAAATTAAACGCAATCGGGTTATAGGGTTTCGTATTTTTATAATAATTTAATAATAATCTGTTAAAATTGGTCCTGTAAATAAGAGGTTATGAGAAAGTAAATTTCAACAAAGATTATCTCAGAATCATATCGTACGACTAGTTCAGCTTGGCAAAAGGCTTAACCCGGCTAATCCAGTCGTTATGTTTCGAATATCTCCGATCGTAGTGACATAGAGGGCGCTAAATTATTCTTGTTAGGAACTGCCAGTTTCTGAAGAAAAGTGTAACACTAGTTAACAGCAATTTTGGAGGAATACTTTTATAAAAAATATTTAAATAAATCCCTACTAAACGCTTATGTTAAATACAATACTGGTGGAATAAAGTACTTTAGCATTTAAATCAGTAACGTAATTTCTTGCAAAACTGTATTTACCGTGAAGATACGAGTATTTTTTTTTTTGCCATTTATTCTTCTTTCAATTTACACTTCCCATTTTGTTGTTGCTTGCTTTCGAAATTAATTAATCAGCTTACTAAATGTGTTTTTATTTTTGTTTTTTTATGTTTTTCTGTTCACTGGATTAAGCCTAACATCCATCAAAATAAACCTAACATTTAGTGTTATAGCACTGTCACTTAAATTCTGATTTATTTTTTTTTGTGTGTATATATACATATTGTAAGTTACATGTGTAAAGATTTGTTTTGTTTTAGAAGTTAAGCACAAAGCTACACAATGGGCTATCTGTGCTCT